GGTTATAAATAACGTCTAAACTTTTCTAACTAAAAAGGACTTTATTGCCTTAAAAGTCCCAACGTTTCTGTGAACTTGCAGTAATAATCGCGTGGCCTCTTCTCCTTTCCTCTAGGTGCCCTTGAACGTTCACTGCAGCTAAGAGGACTCAACGTAAATCAGTCTGTTTCCTCTGAAATAAATACCGTCCGAGCTATTTTCGTGTGGGTTGTGTTCAATAACGGGTTCACCGGGTGAATACACGTGAATACACGGACAACCTCACGTTCAATATTATGAGGTTGAGCCGACGGCCAGGCTACCAGCACGTGGTCTGAGTCCAGCACGCGGGCCGTGAGAGCAGGTGGCACAACTGCCGAGTAACCCAGCCGAGCTCCCAGCCTGGCGGCCACATGGCAGCCACAGACACAGGGGCCTTGTTACAAACATCAAAGGCCCCGTTCACCCCCGCGGAGACCCCCCTCCCCCCTCCCCCCTCCAGCACGCTCGCAGGGCAAATCACAGCCTGGAACCCCAGTGCCCGGTGGCGAGCAGGCCTGGGGGGGGCCGGGGGGGGGCCCATCGTGGGCCGGCAGTTCGGGGCCAGGGCAGGCTGGCGAGCCTGCTCACTCTGGGGACTTGCCCAGGCCCCGCAGCTCTTGAAGCTGGAGGCCTCCTGGGGCGGCCACAGGAACGCAGTCTCTTCGAGGACAAGCCCAGAAACCTCCCCGGGACAGGCTCGTCTCGACCGGGCAGGCGGGCACTGAGCGTCGGCCATCGGGTCTGTGGGCCGGGCCCGGCGGGTAACGCTGTCCGGATCCTGGTCCGGATCCTGGCTCGGTGCAGCGGAGGACACACCTTGGACAATCGCTCGGCATCTCGGCAGCTCCCAGCCGGGCCTCAGCAGGCGGGGCCAGAGGGCGTGACCTCCCCGGAAGACGCTGCCAAATGCCATTTTGTGTCTAGGGCGCAGTTGGGCTGCCAGGTCTCGGATTGCTGGTCCGTTACCCTTAACTGAAGGCCTGCGGAGATCCCTGGCCTGGCATCTTCCTGCGCCCCGGGCCACACGCCCTGTGGTTTCCTTCCCAGCAGGGACTCAGCCTGCCCTGCGTGGCCTCCGCCGTCAGCACGCCATCTGGCACAGCAGGAAACAGGTTCCTGACTGAGACTTCTGAACCGGACCCGGGACGGGGGTGGGGGGACAAGTGTCCGGAGAGCCAGGTCTGGAGCCAGCGCACGTGGCCCCCAGAGGCCTGTGGTGGGAGGGACCCCAGCTCAGCGCTCTGCCCAGTGTCAGCCTGGTGTGGCCAAAGGCCGCCCTCCGTGCCCGGGCCAGCACCTGGGACTTGAGACTCGGGGCTGCTGAGGTGGGGAACCTGGTTCTTTGGGATCAGTTGCGACCCTGTGAGGCTGAGCCATCTTTGGCCACAAGGTCTCCAGTCTTCTGGATGGTTCCAGCTGTGAGGCCCGGGAGCCTTGCATCCCCAGCCTCGGGTGGGCAGTTTCGCAGGGAAAGCCAAGCCGATTAAACCCAGCCCTCTCAGCAGGGTGGGACCCTGTGAGGCTCAGACTCCGGGGCTCTTCCTCCACCTGTTACAAGGACAGCATGACATGATAAGGGTCAACGTGTCCAGGCAATGACAGGGGCGGCACGGTCCCCCTCCCTGTGCTCAGTCGCAGGAGCTCCTTTTCCAGGATGCAGTCCGGGTTGGAGGGGGCTGACAGCGCGTCCCAACGGCCAGAGGATGGAGGAGAGAGAGTGAGGCTAAGTACACTCTTGTGTCCTGTTTCTAAATAAGCAAACCTGACATTCGCACAAGAGGCTGCACGGACTCGGCTTCCACAGAAACCCTTCCCTTCTCTCCCTCCCAGATCCGCTTGGCGGGAAGCGGACGGCACAGGGGAATTCGCAGGCGGCGAGGGCTCACCTGTCTTTTGCGAGGCACGTTCACAACACCTGAATGACTTGCCCTTCGTCTCCCTCCCTTCCTTTCCCAAAACTAATGGGGTGACCCTGCTGTGGGCTTTCCCTGGTCAAAACGCAGTCCGCAGAGAACGCCAAGAGGCTCCCGATTGGGGCCGTAAAGAGTAGATTTCAGCAGCATCAGAGAGTTCCTTAAAGAAGTCGCCAGACCGGGGCCACTGCTGTTTTTCACCCTCAGAAACGTTTGCGGCGACCGTATTTCATGGAGGGGTGGCCCGCAGCTCGGACACCCAGCGCGAGATGCTCCGGAGCTGGGTAACGACACGGGGAAGCTACACCCAGTGGGAGGCATGGCGGGCGACAGCACCAGCGGTCGCTGCAGGGTCCCGAGCCTCACCTGGGCTCTCCTGGAGGGTGCCTTGCGTGGAGAGCGCCCGGGAGCGGTCCGCACGGACCCGAAACCCCCAGGCTGCGGGCGGCCAGCAGTGCAGACACCCTCCCTCATCTTTCTTGCACGTCCTCCTCGCTGCCCTCCCCGCAGCCCGAATTAAAGATCACAGGACTTGAATACGGTTCAGAAGCGCGTGTCCGCTGGCATTAAGAGAGAGCAGTCGGCATTACAGGTAACCCTCTGGGTCCATTCTGAGCACTCTTCTCCAGAAGCCACCACCATTCGAACCTGTGACTTATTCATACGAACAGAACGACAGATGCTCGGCCTCTGAAGAATTACGGATCTGTTCCTCTTAATGAATCTCAGTGCAAAGCAAGGAACATACAACACACTCAACCTCCCACCACGGGGGAGCCCTTCCCCATCGGCACCGCTCCCGGCCACTGCACTGCCGAGAATCGGTGGTCTCGAGTTTGGCGCGGGGTGTCGGGGAGGCACGGGGGGCAGCGCCCGTCGCTCCATCCTGCACACGCGTGTGTGTGAGGAAGTACCACTGTCCTGTTCAAAAGCCATTTGTGTATGTTTATACTTACAACCACCCACCACACAAGCAGACAGACCCTTCCTCACGAAGCAGATGAAAAACGGAAACCTGAAGGAAGAGACGCTTCCTGCGCACTCCCATTAACTCATAAATTTTCCTTTCTGGTTCTAGCTGCAGTTTGCAGATGAGGAAACTGGGGCTCCCGGGGCTTTACGGCACCAACCCACGGCCACCCACCTGTAGAGGGCGGCCTGGGATTTGTGCGTTTCCAAGGTGGCTCCGTGTTGTGACCACGCTAACCCTCAGCGCAAGAAAAGGCTCCAGACGAGACCCCGAGGTCACCCCGGGGCGCCGCAAACACACTTCCGAATGGAGGCATCCATTTCTGCAAGGAGGATGCCTCAGCGTCACCACGAGGACACGTTCACGTGCACCGCGCACAAGGCCGGGGGCACAGAGGGCGGGCAGCCGTGTCCCCACCCCACCTAGAAGACCCAAGCACGCAGTCTAAATCTATAACAAACGATTCTGTGACTACGAAGATGGTAAAGAGATGAGACGCATGTCTCAACTTCACCATTTTAATTTTTTTAATGTTTTATTTATTTCTGAGAGAGAGGGACAGTGTGAGCAGGGGAGGGTCAGAGAGAGAGGGAGAGTCAGAGAGAGGGAGACACAGAATCAGAAACAGGCTCCAAGCTCTGAGCTGTCAGCACAGAGCCCGACGTGGGGCTCGAACCCACGAACTGTGAGATCATGACCGGAGCCGAAGTCGGACACTTAACCGACTGAGCCACCCAGGTGCCCCTCAACTTCACCATTTTAAAATCTGCGTTCACTGATGCAGTTTAGCGGGTGATTTTACGTAGTGGAGCGGCTGCGCAGAGCTCAGGAGTCCCGCCACACGTGACGACGGCAGCCGCCGGGGCCACGACACAGCGGCGCTGCACCAGGCCCAGAGGACACCCGGCGGACGTCACTGCAAAGTGAGACAACACTCATTTCTTCTTGTCTCATTTTGAGCAAATACAGAACTGTTACCCTGTCAATTTTCACCCAGAAAAAAAAAAAACGAAGAACCCATAAAATACAAACCTTTCACATGGTATCACCAATCTGGGAATGCAAACTGGGGCAGCCACTCTGGAGAACAGTGTGGAGGTTCCTCAAAAAGTTAAAAATAGAACTACCCTACGACCCAGCAATTGCACTACTGGGTATTTATCCAAGGGATGCAGGGGGGCTGTTTCAAAGGGGCACGTGCACCCCAGTGTTTATAGCAGCACTATCGACAGTAGCCAAAGTATGGAGAGAGCCCAGATGTCCGTCAACAGATGAGGGGATAACAAAGATGTGGCGTATATACACAATGGAATATTACTTGGCAATCAAAAAGAATGAAATCTTGGGGCGCCTGGGTGGCTCAGTCAGTTAAGTGTCTGACTTCGGCTCAGGTCATGATCTCACGGTTAGTGGGTTCGAGCCCCGTGTCGGGCTCTGTGCTGACAGCTCAGAGCCTGGAGCGTGCTTCAGATTCTATGTCTCCCTCTCTCTCTGACCTTCCCCTGCTTCATGCTGTCTCTCTCTCTCAGAAATAAAAAAACACTGAAAAAAAATTAAAAAAAAAAGAAATCTTGCCATTTGCAACTAGGTGGATGGAACTAGAAGGTACTACACTAAGTGAAATTAGTCAGAAAAAGACAAATATGTGACTTCACTCATATAAGAAATTTAAGATATAAAACAGATGACCATAAAGGAAGGGAAGCAAAAATAATATAAAAACAGAGAAGGGGACAAAAACATAAGAAACTCTTAAATATAGAGGACAGAGGGTGACTGGAGGGGGGATGGGCTAAATAGGTAAAAGGCATTAAGGAGTCTACTCCTGAAATCATTATTGCACTATGTGCTAATTAACTTGGACATAAACTTAAAAAAATAATAAATTATAGAAAGAAAAAAAAACTTTCAAATATCACAGAGAATTTCTGCACTAACTATACCTCCATATTAATAAAACCTGTTGTTATCTGTGGCTTTTTAAAAACTTAACTGTATTATTGTAAAATATTCAAATAAAAAACCAACACTCCCACCTAGTGGATAAAGGAAAACATCTGGCTTAGATTACCGTAAGAAAGGAACTAGAACTATAATGAATTTAAAATAAGTTTATTCTGTTTGAACACCCTCAAAAGACCCCCTTGGGAAAAAGGAACCAACAAAATGGGACACTGCTCCCCTTACAGGAACGGGGGGGACACGCTGCTCCCCTACAGGAACGGGGGGGGGTAATAACACACTGTACAAAACCACCTCTGGAATCACGTGTAAATGTTACTCTGAATCTCATTTGTGGTCATCAATTTCTTCAGTATCTCTGTGCTCTGGGGAATATTCTAGAAGAAGAGGGGGGAAAAAAAGCTATTAACACAGGGAGATGGAGGATTCGGTCAGAAACAGCACACCCACTCCATCCCCCCCAGGCTCTGGACGCCCCCTGAGCAGAGGCTCCGTCCCTCTCCCAGGCACAGCCTAAGCGGCCTCGCCTCTCACCCCTCCCACCCCCGGCCTGGCGGCACCACAGTCGCCTGCGTCACCTCCCCACCCCCCCACCCCGGCTGGGGCCAGGGCGCTGACGCGGCCCTGCAGGCACTCAAGGGAACTCCCCGCGGCTGACGGACGGCCACCCTCAGATCAAGAAGCCTGAGCGACCTCCGGAAGCCATGTCCGCTCGGGAGCCCTCCGCAACTCAGTACGTTTGCAGGAAGAAATGAGAAGGTTCCAAGAAGTGTCTCGATTCCCCCTCGAAGAATACTCCTAACAGCCAAAGTCGACTGAAACTCTCCGTGACTGATGGCGGGGCTGCTGGAGCGAGCCCGGGTCCTTCCGGAGCGCCTGTGCGGCCCCCCGCAGGGACACAGCCCAGGGCCGCGCTCGCTGCCTGCGAACCCGGCCACCAGCCTGTGCTCTGAGGGCGCCCCCGCTACGGAACCCCCCACGACTCCCACTGAACTGAAATCCTGCTTCAGTTATATTCGGTTTACAGTTTTACCCCTAATAATTCATCGGACGGTGGGGGCGCCTCCCACAGGCCAGGTACCTGACGGGGGGTGGGGGGGTGGGGGGTACGAAATGGAGAAACGCGGCCCATTCCCACGGAGCTGGCCATTTAGCAAGCAACTAATGTAAGAAGGGCTAACCCCGACAGAACGTGCCAGAAAAGGTGTCTGAGGGCCAACGGCCATTCTAGAATATAGAATACAACAGGACTTGCACTGTGAACAGCGCTGTTGCAGCCTCTTCCCTGTGAGAGACAAGTCCTTACCCAGGGTCCATGCGGCGGCGGCAAGGCCCTCGGGGACAGGAGCGGGTCCCTAAACTACGTGCAAGCACAGGCAAACACGTCCCAGCGTGCACAACAGGCACCAAGAGCAGGGACGGGTGCATCTCGCCCTCGGGCCGCCAGCCCCACCCCATGCAAAATTAAGTGAATAAACGCTGATCACCCGCTCCGAGCTGTGCCCGGGATCGCCTTCTTAAACATTACAACCTTCCAAATGGATTAGTTACAGAAACTTCCCGAGCAGTGAAACCACCCTTCTACAGAGCCGCCTGGGATCTCCATCCACGCGCTGCCAGGACCCACCACGAGAAAGCGTGAACGCAAAGGTTCTCAGGTTACAGGAGCACATCTAAAAAAGGGTGACGGTCCCCCTCAAAGTGCCGGACTAAACAGCTTTACCCTGAGGAAAAGGGCCTCTGAGTGTTGCTCGGGTTTCACACGGGCACCAGACATTTACGTCTGTTACTAAGCCCGCCACAACTCAGCTATGAAGTCAACGAGTGAAAACCTCACCTTCACCAAACCTTTCAAGCTTCTGGAAGAAAGGACGGGCTTAAAAGCTCCAACTGTAATGAGGTCTAACTTCATCACATCAGTGTAGCACAAGTACAGGATCGCAGGGATTTTCCACACTTGGCAGTAACTCAGAACTATGAATCATACAAGGGGAAAAACCACTTCAGCCTCCTGCTCTGTGATTTTTACACTAAACACCTCTATATAAAAAAGGCTACTTTTAAAAACAGTTGTGTCTGTTGCCTCCCTTCATCAAAGTGTTTACTGCCATATTAAACCCCTTACAATGCACATATTCTTTTAAAGCCAATTTATTTTCCTAAGTAATTTCTTGAAATAGTTTATTTTGCATTTCCTGAAAATACTGAGACACATCTTAAGTAACTTCTAGATTAAAATTTTGCTGAATACAATAAATTAAAAGTAAATAATAAACATATAGTGCATAATGTAAAGTACTTGACAGTTTAGTAAACTTCACATTTAAGGGGAAAAACTTACTTATTAACAAACAACAATTATACAACTTATCAGCTACTGAAAAGTAACTGACAATCTCATTTTGATGTGATGTCAGAGTATAACTAACAACAGGAGTAAAAAATAAAATATTAACAATACTACTACGATTCAGTTTCTGGAAACTGCTATTTCGACAATTGAAACATACTTTACCAACTTTTCATGCCCCAACACTTTATGTCTAACACGAGCTTGCGTGATGAGTTATCACAGACCAAAAAGAAACAGAGCAACACTGAAGCCTAAGAGTTAAGAACTCCGAAGTTCTTAAGCTGCTCGCAAACGGTAACTGTGTGTCTAGAAAATGTTAAAACTCAAACCGAACACAACATCCAGCAACAACAGATATTAAAGATTAACAGCAGAACACTGGTATCAATCATCGTCAACACACTACCTTAAGAAGACTTCTAACAGCCAAATCACCAATAACCAATAAAGCAATAATCTATAATGTAAATATCACAAATTTCAACGCCACCTGCTGCAGGAAGATCATGTACAATGTTTGGTTGTTCCAACAGTGAACAGCATGGAGGCTCTTTGAAATTCTCTGTCTTTAGGGCTTTCAGGAAAGGAGAACGGAGGCTGCTGGTGGATTCTGAGGTTTTATAGTCAGTAACATGTCGACACGTGAGTACAGTCACTTGCATGTTCTTCCTTGGGCAAGAGCCAAAGACCTAGCAAAAGTGAGGTCAAGTTAAAAGGCATCTACAGTTTTGTTACGGAACAGAAACACAAGAATACCGCGCCTTGCAGAGGTGGACGCTTCCGCTGAAAAACAGAACACATGCTTCGCCGTCCCCTCACCCGGGCATGATCCTGATTCTGCCCGTTCTAGTTAGGTGACCTTTCCTACGTCACGTTCCTCATCTGTGAACTCCCACCACAGGGAGCTGCAGTCTGTAGTAAGTGGGAGTCGGGAACACACGTGGCCAGAGCAGCTGTGGGAAGAGCCTGTCACATGCCTACTAGATCTCGACTAACGCAGGTATTTCTTTTTTTTTTTTTAATTTGTTAAAAAAAAATTTTTTTTAATGTTTTGTTTATTTCTAGGAGAGAGAGAGAGAGAGACAGCGTGAGCAGGGGAGGGCCAGAGAGAGAGGGAGTCACAGACTGAAACAGGCTCCAGGCTCTGAGCTGGCAGTCAGCACAGAGCCCGATGCGGGGCTAGAACCCACGAACCGCGAGATCATGACCTAAGCGAAAGCCGGACGCTTAACCGACTAAGCCACCCAGGCGCCCCTAACGCAGGTATTTCTAAGCACAACTTTACTGGCGAGCCACCTTCAGACTAGAAGTACATCAGCAAAAGGAAGTGATCCCCTTTCTCGAACCCACGTCCCGATGTATTCTAAAACACTTATTTTAATGAAGATGTTTCTAAGCTGCAAGTTGTATGCATGATAGTGCTGTATGAGTGCAAACGATCCTTAAGTTCACTTTTTATTTCTATTGTAGGCAACTTTTAATCATTTTAGACCTTTAATTCCTAACTTTGTATTTCATGAATTTCCAAGGACCCTTCCAGCTTTTAAAATCTATGGTGATATAAACAAAAAAAAGCAGCTGTGTTTTAAATTTAAAAAGTAGACTTTAGGCAACTCCACTTTATTAGAAAATATTTTATGAAAAGAAGTAAGTGGCTATTCCAAATGATAACAACAGAACGAAAGATTCCACATGCCATGAAGGATTTTAAGCCTAATTTCACCATATCACAGTTTTGCAAATAAACACAAAACAGTTAACACAATATACATCCGTCAACAGGTACATGCCATTTAAGATACATTACTGGGGCGCCAGGGGGGCTTGGTCGGTTGAGCTCCTGACTGGCTCAGGTCATCAACTCATGGTTTATGAGTTCAAAACCCACGTAAGGCTCTGTGCTGACAGCTCGGAGCCTGGAGCTGCTTCTGATTATGTCTCCCTCTCTCTCTGCCCCTCCCTTGCTCACACGTGGTCTCTCTCAAAAATAAACTTAAAAATTTTTTAATAAAAAAGAAATACAACATTACTCACGAGGCCTACTTTATCGTCCTCCCCGTAATACCTACAGTCTGAACCCACACGTGACCACTGTTAGGCTGTGCGATTACCAGCATTTTGTGGCTGACATGAAGCAAACAGCAGGGAGACCCGGAGCATGTCCCAAAGGAAAAAAATCTGACTAAAAAGGTTTTTAAGTCTGGAAGGGAAAAGGTGCTCCACGGCACAAAAATAACAAAATATTTCTGAACTAACAGTCATCCTACTTAAATTAAAAAACACAAGTTAACACAGCAGTTTCCTACCCTTCTGAGATCTGAGGAAAGCCATGGACTTTCTCCCTAGAAAAATACATATTGGTGCAAAACACAGTATCATGTACAGGATCATGGGAAGGGTCACATACCTTTTTAAATTATTCCTCGGTTAATAAAATGTATTTAATAACTTTTAATAAATGTTTCTAAGTTCCCAATCTGGTTTAGGACAGATGTACGCCAAATTTCTTATTTCTAATGAATTCTACAACCTATACAAAAATATACCTAAAATTTAAGCTGAAATGTTGCTAAGATATATATGAGACCTACTTCACTTAAAAATAATATGCAACTGGGGCACCTGGGTAGCTTAGTTGGTTAAGCATCTAACTCTTGGTTTTGGCTCAGGTCATGATCTCAGTTTGTGGGTTCGAGCCCCACCCTGGGCTCTGTGCTGACAATGCACAGCCTGGTTGGGATTCTATCTCTCTGCCCTCTCCTCTCTCTCAAAAATAAATACATTAATTAAAATAATAATATGTAATAATATGCAATATGGCAATAATATTATGCCAAAATTATGATTATTCTCTAACACTTCTAAATTCTTCTGTGCTGTCAGCACGAAGCCCAACGCGGGGCTCGAACCCACAAACCCTGAGATCATGACCTGAGCCGAAGTCCAACACTTAAATGACTAAGCCACCCAGGCGCCCCTGAAAAATACGTTTTACTGGGCACATACTACATGCACAATTTTCCCACAAAATGAAGCCTCAAATAATTCATACTATCACTAAGGAAAATGGATGCAATATTCTGGAATTTGGAGCAAGCAGCAGCGGGGTGCCAACCCCCCGAATCCAGCTCACACCCATTTCCTGCCTCGCAGCCCCGAGCATCTCCAACCAACACCACTGTCAGCACTGCTGTTTTCTGCCCTGGCCCTGGCCCTGTTCTGTTGCCTGTGAGTAGCCTGTCTGTCTTTCAAACATCACAATATGGTGGATGGGAAGAAGCCAACTGGTTTACGCTTCTGTGACCTACGATCTTTAGCACATTGCTGATCACATTTGTTAAATGAGTTTTTATTCTTCAAATTCTGTAATAAATTGCTACAATATCTTTTGCCAAAAAAAAAAAAAATAGTAACAACAACAACAGAGACCTCTCCGGTTTCAGGGTACAGATACCGAACCCTTAAAAGGCGTCCATCCTCAGTGTGACCACGGCCAGCCTCCACTTCTCTTACCTTTTCCAGCCACTGATACTGCTGGTCTTCAGCCACATAGCAGCTGCACTGACAGAGCAAGACCTGGAAAATCACATTCCAAGGGTTTTGTCAGGTCAAATGGGTTTTACACACACACAAAATATCATCATTTACATGCTCGCTTGAATCATAATATAATCTTTAAATAACACGTGTCTTTCTGCACTGCTATTGGTTTATTCATTTATCTTTAAAATTTAAGAATCAAGCCACTACTGGCAGTTAACACGAGAATAAAGTACACAGTGACAGAGTGACCACAAGAGTTTGCACAGGACACCCTGAAGATACTACCAGTAAATGCTACCAGAATGTTCCTTATAACACAGGAATGATACCAGTCCTGCTGCCTTCTGGGGGGTGTCACACGCTGCGAAGACCAAACGCAAAATAAATGTAAACACTGTAAAACGTAAGCATGATACAAACCCTAGGTGCTATCAAAGGGAATGGCGGCCCAACAGCACCCCAGCCCAAAGACCATTCTAGAACAGTCCCGATGCCCGTGAGGATGGTATTGTTTTAGAAACCAAGTTCCAAACCCTATGAGCAAAGTGAAATAATTTGTAATGACCCCATGCCATAAAATGATGGATTCTTGATTATTAATACTCATGAAATGATATTATCCACAGAACTCAACATCTTCTATGAAAATATGGCCAGAGGGGCACCTGGGTGGCTTAGTCGGTTAAGTGTCTGACTTTGGCTCAGGTCATGATCTCACAGTTCATGGGTTCAAGCCCTTCGTCGGGCTCTGTGCTAACAGCTCAGAGCCTGGAGCCTGTTTCAGATTCTGTGTCTCCCTCTCTCTCTGACTCTCCTCTGCTCATGCTATGTCTCTTTTTTCTTAAAAAAAAAAAGAAAATATGGCCAGAAATGCTAACACTTAATTACCCAAGGGAAGCACAGGAGGGAAAAACAGTGTCCAGGGACAGAGGAAAAGACAAATACTGGATATATAATTAACTACACATGCAGGCTCTGCATAATCAGGAGAGATCTATGTAATACATGGTTCGACCAGATGAGGGGAGAGAAATTTCTCCTAGTTGACCTTCACAATCTGTTCTGAAGCGAAATCTTTCCAACTAAAGACCAACTCGAAAACATGCTTAGTTTCATTATTTCCTACAAAAATGCTAGATGTGCATAAAAATCCTCATGTAAACTTAAATAACTCTGGATTACATGTTTTAAAAAAAACCGTAATACAAAATCAAACTTTATATTTTAAAAGGCTAACATGTAGCCCTTTCCTTTTGAAATACCCCACATTACAATATTATGGAATTAGTGACTTCTTCCATTGTTTGGACCCCCGTCCCAGCCCTTGTTCAAGGGTTCAAGTGTTTGGCACCTGTGGAATGGTACTGTGCGACACACGTCACCTGCCTGGCCGTCTCATAGGCCTGACTCCTCTTTCAAACGGCCCCCTGTGCCGTGCCCTCTGAATGCACCCAAGATTGGGCTGAGAATGCGTAGGACACCAGGGAATTCCTCAGCATCAGCCACAGAATGACTTTTAGGACTTGACAAAGCAGGCCAGGGTGGAAGCTTGATGCCCAGAGAACCGGGCTGAGAACGCATGCAGTTTCCATGTGTTCAGCAAGTGTTAACCCAACTTCCAGCACGCACCAGGCATCTGCTGAACACCGGGTCCACAGCAACAAAGGACAACCCCCTGCTTTCTCAGAGTAGACACCGTTTTGCACACTTAGAGTTGGCCGCTCAAAGAATTTTTGGAATGAGCGCAAAGTCTGAATGTCTACCGTTGATGGTTTTTTCCTAACAAACCATCAACACACTGGATCCGTCATGTTGACACTCTGTAAACAAATGCCTCAGCCCAACAGGAGATGTGAAGGAACAGGAAATTCACTCAGACACCACATAAATGATGGTAAGTAACTACTTCGGTAGCATGCAAGTCAGGTCCCACATACCGAGGGATTCGATTTTAGATGATAAAACACACAAAAGGCGTCTGCCGGGTTGAGATGCACAGTGTCTGTCGTTCTGCACCATTCGTTCCAGAGTTTGGCACAACCGACTTCTTCCCAGACGCCTGAATTCATAACAAATGACGACAAAAATGCTGTGAAAAGCAATTCACACCTGAGTTACTGCTTGGCTCTGCATTTTCTCCAGTAAAACACAGTTTCAAGTTACCCTGGAATTCTAGAACTCCAAGAGCCATTAAGACCACTGACCTTACACCACCCTCTTGCAGGAAAGTAAACCGAGGCCTCGGAAAGTTAAAGGCTACCGCCCGAACACAGACGGTACTAGAGGCAGGAACTGAGGACACAGGTGTGCTGTCCAGCTTCACCGCACACTCACAATGTACCACTTGCGGGACAATTTTAGGCCAGGAGCACTTTACATAAATGAGTCCATAGTTATTTCTCACGTACTTACCGATGTCCTCCAGGCACTGGGGCTACCTTATAGGGCAAGGGCTCCACTTCACTGGAGACCCCAACGCTCTCTCACCACAGCCTGTGAAATGGCTAAAATCACACAGGCATGGGCACACCGTTGTGGCTGAACTCTGCTCTGAGCTAACATTAACCTATCAGATGCAGTCATCTGTGTACAGACCTGCACACTCGAGTGCTCAAAAGTGTAGGCGACTGAACGCTCAGAACTGTTAGTGATCACCACTGTTATTTCTAGAGCTCTCATCCGTACTGTCAAGAGCCTGTTAATTCAGGGGCACCTGGGTGGCTCAGTCAGTTAAGCGTCCGACATCGGCTCAGGTCATGATCTCATAGTTCGTGGTTTCAAGCTCCGCATCGGGCTCTGTGCTGACAGCTCAGAGCCTAGAGCCTGATATGGATTCTGTGTCTCCCTCTCTCTCTGACCTTCCCCTGCTCACGCTGTCTCTCTCTCTCTCAGAAATAAATAAAACATTAAAAAAAAAAAAGAGTCTGTTAATTCAAAAACTATGAAGAACCACTGCTACGAGGGGCCACATACATGTGCCACCTCTGTCCCTACATGTTGGCCCAAAACAGGCCCAGGAGTCTAAAGAAATGTGGATACCTATACATACTGTAAACCTAGTTCCCGGAACTTACAACCTCCTGAAGCTAAGCACACTTCCTTTAAGTCTTACTTGTTAAGTTTATCAGAAAGAAGGTGTCACAGGAGCAGGCAGCGATTTTACTCAGATGCAAAGTTACTCTGCTATGCCTTTTTCTAGAAAGGTAACAGACACTTGAAATCTTTAATGATGGAAAGATGAAATAAGTAACTTTGGATTTTGTTCTTTAAACAAAACGTCCAGTCCAGCGCATTTCCACTCACCTACTGCATTATTTCCTATAGCAATTATGAACTTGGAGCAAGGATATTTTTCCAGCAGAGAAACTTCCAAAGATGTTTTTGTTTGTCTTCGAAAGAGCCGCACCTCCCTAACACAAGAAACAAAAGACACAACTAAAGCAACTTAAATGTACTTCGTACCGTATACAGATACGGTATACGGATACCGTATACCGCAAAAATGTTTTCTAATAGGTAACATGCAAACTGTAATTTCATAAAGAATGTAATTACGATCTAAAGGAAACAACAGATTGGGGCAACAATAACTAACAGATTAAACCACCTGACGCAAAAGTCATGCAGAAGTCTACAACGAAGATGAGGCTGGGTGCCTGACCCAGTGATCAATCAATCGATCTTCGCATCCCTACAATGGGACAACTGGGTCACAGGGCCAATAAGAAACAGCAAGCACCACCTTCGAAGCATTCTTGCCAGCAAAATATTGAAGGTGCATCTGACCACGCCTCTAAAAAGAACATCCATCTGCAGGAGATGCAGGTAATGGACACACAGACAAATCCAGAGTGTGGGACACCCTCCAGGACAAGACTCCCAGCAGCGGTGACCAGGGGCTGCTCTTGTGATGGGGAGCACAAGAGGCAGAAAGTCTAACGGTAACGTGCGGCCCTCGTCAGGATTCTGACTTGCACAAACTCACTGTGAATCGTCATGTTTGAGACTACTAAATAAATGTGACCATGCACTACTAAATGGCATCAGAAATCATTAAGTTTTTGGGGTTATAACAGCACACGCAAGAAAATGCCTATACCGTGTGCGGTGCGTTCTGAAAAAGGTCGAGGTGGAAGGCTATGGCCAGTCGGGGTGGTGGGAGACAGATGCGGCAGAACCTTCATTAACTGCTGAATTTACACGGCTGGGTAGGGGTGAAGGGTCATTTTACTACTTTTCTCCAATCTCTGTGTGCTGGAAATAATTCTGCTTTTAAAGAGACACGGCATCCACCTGCTCCCGATACCGACGCTAACGGGAGTGCGGCGGAGGATGAAAGTCCACGAACCAAACGCACGATGACCACGGGGCCCGGGGACACGTCCCGAGGGCACAGGGAAGCCCCGGGTCCACGCCGAGGCAGGGCCCAACGAGGCCGCGGCAGGCCGGCGCGAGCCCGCCCCAGCCGGGCCCCGGGGTGGTGCTGCCGGCCGCGCCCAGAGCCCCGCGGCACCCCGGGCGGGTGGCGCCGGGCGAGCCCCGGGCAGAGCGGGGCCGCCGACCGGTCGCAAGCCCCGGGGTCCTGCGCCCGGGTGCTCACCTCTTCCGCGCCAGCTGCCGCCGGACCTCCCTGTCCTCGGCCGTCCCCCTCCCCTCGTCCTCCTCTTCCTCCTGGTCTTCCGTCCCGGCTCGGCACGGCGCCTTCACCACCTCCCCGAAGAACGTGGCCGCCATACCCTCCCCGCCGCCCTCCCAGCCTAACCGCGGCGCAGCAGCATAGCGCATGCGCGCCCGCGCCGCCACGCCCACCGCGCCGCCGCCACGCCCCTGACTCCGCCCCCACGCCACGCCCCCGCGCACGCGCGCCGGGCGCCCGCGGCCGCCCCAGTCCCGAGCGTCTCCTCCCGCAGCGTGAGTCCGCAGGGGCACCGAGAGGCCGGCTGACTGGGGGCTAGAGAGGCCAGCCGGCTGTCGCGGGGGAGGGGACGCGGCCCGCGGCGTAGGGCCTGAGCCGGTGACCGCGGGGGCGAGGTGGGGGGGCGGGAAGAAACACCAGCGCTTCGTGGTGGTAGAAAATGCGACTTTTACTCTGGCGATAAGAATTCACACTTCAAAAGCGGATGATTGTCAAGCTGATCGAAAAGACTTTATGAGAATGCAAAAATAGTTACTTTTTTTTTTTTTTTTTTTAAACGTGGCCATCTCTAATACAAAATGTAGTTTCGCCTTAAGTTGCCTTTCACGCATAAGCGGAGTATTGCAGTTGCTTTCGAGACGCTGCCCTTCCCGGGGCGCGGCTGCAGGAGGCGAGCGCCGCACGCCGTCGCCGGCCGTCGTCGCGCGGCACACACGCGGCGCTGTCACGTTTGGGGGACGCCGCCGGGAAGTACCGAGTTGGGTACCGGCCTGGGGTCCGGCGGAACCTCCGGAGGCGATCTCGGGAAGCTGCTCGAAATACCTCGTCTGGAGACGTGGAGAAGAAATGCGATCGACAGAAACATCTACGTGGAGTCGGTGTTGGCGGTTTTGCACATTCCAGCAAAATAAATGTTTGGGTGTGGAAGCAGCGTGTGGACCTTTCGGTATAAAGATTGTGCCCCAAGTGCGATCCCGTTAGGAGCCTGGGAGAGTGTGGATGCTTACGGAGCAAGGTCACCAGGGTGGTGTTTCTGAACTGCGTTTATACTCGTGGGCCGTTTTCTAGGAGCGGATTGCACGATAAAAAGGATGTTTGGGTATCACTTTGTCTTCATCCTTTTTTTCCAGTAAAGGAAATTGCCATTTTTACCAGTAACATTTTAAGCTCGATTTGCTTTCACAATTACATTATGAAGAAATCATTTCTAGAAAGCGGATTAAAATTACGAGTAGGGTCATAATACATTCGGCCATGGTTTAAATTCTGCGTACATTTCAGAAAAGTTTTACAATAATGTTAAGTTTTAAACAAAGGCTTATTTCATGCAGTTAACAATAAATTTAGGCCAAGCACTTTTTAAAAAGGCAAATATATGTTCAATTTAAATACTAATTCAGCAAAAGAGATTCCGTTTTGAAAGAAGGCTGCTGGGACACCTTCTCAAGTACTGACGGAAATTAACCCATCACAGAACATTGTGAATTCAAAACAAATTCTTTGATTACACTGAAGTTGTCAAGAAATTTTGCATAAAATAGTCTTAACTGAGACTTAAAATGTTTTCATTTTATGGTATTTGTTTAGGATATAACATCCCCAATAAGAAATTTCTATGAAATTAAGGGTAAATACGGGAGCGGAAATAGATTTAAACAGTTCATTAGCAATCAAAAATCAAACCCCATGCACCTAAAAATATTAGCAGTTTATTAGGAATTCTTCCCTTTCTCACCTGTACTAGGAACAAGATACTGGCATCAATATTTCAGATGAAAGTACACTATAAACAGAGAGCAAAGGACACAAACTCTGTAGGTTAGAAATATTCTGGCTTATGCTAAGAGAGAGGAAAAAAACGACAAAAAGCCTTTTCTTAAGCAGACATGCAACCACAAACAAATTTCTCAAGTAATCTAGACACTTGGGTCTGTCTGTATAACCAAAATATATGCATTACATTAGTCTTTTAATGAAGAAGGTATAGGAACCCAAAGGTTTCTGTATTTCACTTTTTCAGATTTACACATGCAAATCATATATTAATATTCACAGGTATTTTTAAATGGGAAAACAACTTGCTTCTAACAATTCGCTTTTCCAAAAGCATGTTACTATGTTAAGATTTAACAGTGCGTTCATTTAATCTGGCGATCTTAATTTCAACAAATACCTATTAAAAACAAATTAAACCTCATCGCAAAGAAACTCTTTATAGTATCAAGATCAGATTTTCTAATCCTAGCAAAGGCCACAGTGAAATAGCCCACACATGCTGCCATTAAAGTTTGTTGTGATGAAACAAACTAATTTGCTCTAAGTGTTCATAAAATACTGATTTTTAAGGTGCTGTAAAGAAACGTAAGAGGATGTCACTATCATCCAAAAATATGACTGTTTTGATCTTCATCTAGACCTTTTATTTTCTGATTAAAACTAAGACCTCGCCTCATAATAAGGTACATTTTGGCATCGCGGTAAATGCTGTTATGTGAAAGGGAAAATGAAGAAAGGAACTTGTGATAGTCACATTCATAGCCTTCATAGAAAAATAGATATTCCCTGAATTAGTCATGTCAAATGGTCGCCATTCAGTACGAATTCCAAGATTATAAACAAAATAACCCGTTAATGGGTTTTTGCTAATGGCCCGTTTCCAACACTCCACTTGAGAACTCGATTATGAACATCCCCATCATTGAATCCCCAGGTCCTTCCCGTTTAAACGGTTTTAGACTTTTGAGGTTGTGAATTGTAGAGACTGGATCTTACCTATAAGGTATTTGGTTCACTCAAAACTCAAACTGGCTCAATGGCACTTCCTCTTGAAACGAGCATAATTTTTTTCCCTCTTACTTTAATAATGACACCATGGCCATGGTGGTCTTAATTTCTATTCTCTAATGCAGAACCCTTAAAATTAGCATCCGGTTGCAATTTTGACTCCCCCCCTGCCACCCCGGCCCTGAAGTTTCTGCTACAGACCCTGTACACCTCCCATTAGGTTCCTTTAGGGAATCGAGAGATTTCAAGACACTTATCTTACTGACCGGCCATTTGTCTTTCCTTTCCACCTCTGCACTACCCGCTTCACAATCTATCACCCACCCGGCCACCCCCAGATTCTCTGTAGTGTGCATCTGTACAAAGGCCCACTGCAAGGGTGGCTTCCTCCCACTTTGATCCCCTGGAGTATGGCTTTTAGAAACTTCCTCAAAAAGTGCCAACGAGGGATTAACTTTAGAACTAGGAGCAGAACGCAACTGCCCATTTACTTGAGGCCCCTGACTGTATCCAAATTTGAACCACTTGGACATTTTCCTAGTCCTTATATTGCTTTTTCTCTCCAGGATCCGAACCGCCTTGAGAAAAGTGTTTTGCTATTAATATCTTCTAGCTCTTTTCACTTTCAGACTTTACGGTTGTATCCTCCTCTTTATAAATGTTTGGTATTTGTTCCTTGGCCACAGCAGAAGCACTTCGATGGGGCACTTTGCTGCTGCTCTTCCTAATCCAGACATTTTTCTGGTCCTGAAACTGTTTAGATTACTCCTATTTTTATGCTATTTGCAGCTACAGTAACATCTGCGGGGAACTTTCTCAAGTACCATTTCTGCTTTCAAACTCTCACTAGGCATGTGCGCTGCATCCTTCTGATTATGCACACGTTATTTTTGTATTGGGTTCTCGGTCTCTAGGAACAGAGTCTGAAGAACGAGTGAAAGTTCACATGAACGCAAATTCTTATAACACAAGACTGTACTGCTGCTTACACGTTCCTCAATAACACACCCCCACAACAGTAAGTCTTAAAACCACTCACATTGCTAAACAAGTAAAAAAAAAAAAGTGATTATCCTCGGTGATAGCACTCCCTCCGCCTCATATCTACAAAAGGAAGCCTTGGGCAGTATGCCACCGGGCATCCTCTCCAATCTGGACAGAGAACACTTAAAACAGCAGCAGACTTGTGAGAAGGTACCTTCAGCATCATAAAGGACTGAATTTTTGGTATCGTTTCTAATAGTCCATGTTGAGCTAGTTTAGGATATTCAGTAAGAGTTTTGATAATAATTTTCCTGGAATCTAAATGAGAAGCAATGCCATCATGGCTACGACGATGCCGGGTATCAGCTCTGTTTCAAGACAGTCCCGAAAGTGTTCATTCTAACACCTTTAGTCAAAAAAAAAGCATTAACCAGCAGATAAAAAAGGAATTGCCTATTCATTTTAAAGATTTTTAAAAATGTTTTATTTCTGAAAGAGAGACAGCATGAGCAGGGGAGGGTCAGAGAGACTCATTTTAGAGAACTAAAAGATGGCGGTAATCCTAGATCCATTGTTTCAACTATTTGACCACGTTATAGAACTGCAATTCTTAACTCCTGGTTGCATTTGTTACTCAGATATTTTCTGAGCGAGGGAGAGGATCAGGCTATTCCAAAACAGACTAATTGTACACCTAGAACAATGGGTACGAGGACACATTCTAGAAATAGAACCCAGTCACAGGGCAAGGAAAGCTGCCTTTGAGGAGCTGTTAAGTAGCTGAGAGCTAGAAACTAGGGGGCAGTGAGGGGGGGCCCACCAGCCTAAAGGCAAGACAAAAAGCCATGGAGAAGCAACATTCCCAATGTGGCTTGGGACCCACCCCAGTGGTACGAGGAGCCACGTGGTGGTGTGGCCACTACTCCACTTTCATCAGCTTAGGTGGGCTCAAGTCCTTTTTATTTCTGCCAGGGTCCCAGAGCCGGATTTTCACTTTTCAAATCCGGGCATAAGTAATGCACTTCCAGGACAGAAGGACAGACATTCTCCGCTTTTTGAAAGTTCACATTATGCCACCTCACTTTTACAAAAGACTTGCCTGGTTTCGCTAGCCAAAAGAAATAAAAAAGGACTTTGGCTTTTATTTAAAAAAATAAATAAAATAGAAAAAGGCGAAAAGCACAAACAGCATCCGGTGTTGGTTTTGCAAGTGAGGCTTCACGGGGGGCACAGGCCCACCAAGGCCCTTCCCCCGCTGCCAGAGCTCTTGAACTGAGCACCGGGGCCTGACCCCCACTGACTCCGTGCATCTGTTAGGGTGTCCTAAGGTATCAGAGAAGTCTGGCAGGTGA